GCATATAGTAGTCACTTAATAAATACTGGTTGATAATTACTTGTTGAAGTAACTGTGTCATTGACAGATCCCTTACTAGGCTATACTATGATCACCAACCATGAAATTTCTCCTAAGGTGTATTTTGGTCATTAATTCAGTAATTTGTCTCCATGCTAAAATCAGGTCCTTAAAAGATTTTCTCAAAGGTCTTATGTTTGATCAGAGAAACATTTTTCTTGCTCTTTTAAATCTTCAGAAGTATTCGGATACCCTTAACTTCATTCTGTTTCTGAAAAATGCTCTGAATTGTCACCATTGCTTTGAACTCTAGTTTTATCATCCATGTTTATAACCAGTATCATTTCTGAAACAAATTTGGTCACTTCCAATTTTACCTATGTTTAAAGGGCCCAGATCCAACAAGAAGTATATTACCTCGTAAAAGCAGAAGAGGAATACAAAAATCTTAAAAACTCACCAGTATTAGTAAAACATTATTTTATGTTGGTATCAGTTCTCACTTAGATCACAGGAGGTTGTTTCTGTAACATTATCCACTGAAGTCCTATTCTGATGTCTGGTCATAGCATGAAAGGGTGACCTGAGTCCTCAAAGGCTATGAGTGTAGGTCCAACCAAATTGGAAAGGTCTTTTAATAACAGACCTTTAAGAAGGTCTATTATTTGAGTATTGACATAGCTAAATTCAAAAAGGAAGACCAAATAAAGAATTTTTTCCACCAGATGTATTAAGACTTTGCATTGGTGGAAGGAAAACCCACTCCCATGCAATCATGAATCCCTAATGTATTGTCAAATATATTCTACTTGATTTTCCCAACTTGATTATGAAAGTCATATGGAACAAATCAACATCTAGCTAGATTGTCACTATTTCTCTCTCTTATCTATCACGTTGAGTGATACACCAAAATTAAAATCACTTTTGACTTGTAAACCCTAGCTTTTGTCAGTTCTGCTTCATCAGTACTATTCACAATGTAGCCATGGTCCAGGGCCTTTCCAAGTACCTAAATGAAACTGCTTACCTCAATTTGTATTTACCACGACGCAATTACTGAGGCTGGTTTATTTTTTTTCCCCCTTTCTTAGAAACACTTTTCATTTTCTAGTCTCTAGGCACTTAGTTATTTTTTAAACTTCTTGGAAGGTAAGTTAAAAAGTGGCTCTATAACTGTGTGGAAGAAGGGCATGCATACTCTAAAGGTAAGAAGGCCTGCTCCATACTGTTCTGTATATGAGCCAAACTTCAATTTTGATTTCAGGATGAGGGCTCTTAAACCTTTAAGATGGTAATGGGTGAAGAAAAGGCACCAAAGGGACAAGAAGTTCCAACTGAGGTGTGTTCTGCTAATGCTAAGACAGATACGCATGCACTTAAACCTCATTTGTTTGTTCCACTAGCAAGGGACAAAGCTCGCCAGCTAGGAAGACAGCACTTTTCTAAGGCTGTACATGAATTATAAAACCTTCCTGACTGGGATATTGAGAGCCTTAATTGTGACTTAAATCTATGGGCCACTTATTACTGATTTTCTAGCCACTATTCTGACCACAGTTAAAAGTGGGAGAAGGACACTGGAAGACTCATTTGGAATCAGCTACTATTTATATGAGGTTACCTGGAATACTAAATGTTTTCCTTGACAGAGAACCATCTAAGATACCAAGACATTAACAAATCTTACTGTCTTCCCTTTAAGACTACCCTAAATTTATCCTGTACATAGCTTATTTGTACATAGTTGTTTGCAAGTTGTCTCCCCCATTAGATCAGGAGCTCCTCAAGGGCAAAAACTGTCTTCTGCATTTTTGGTATCCCCACGCCTTAGCACAGTGCTCAGTACAGAGTAGGTGCTGAATAAATGCTAGCTGACTGACTGATTTTATAGCAGAATGGTCTGGATCTGTAATTTCATAAATTTAAGGAATATGTGGATGAGCAAATGCTTTCTCCTAATGTAGCTCAGCCCCTTCTCTGCCTAGAATACTGACTTGAAAGGTTAAGTGACAGGCCCAGAGTCACCCAGGCAGGATGATATGTCAGAGGCAATTCTTGAACCATGGTCTTCCTGGTTCCAAAGCCAGCTTTCTATGTACTACCCTATTGACTATAACTAAGCTATATAGTGCTTTAAAGTTTTCAAAGCACTTTACTTACAACAATCCTGTAAGAAGCAATATCCACAGGAAATTCAATACTTCTCATTTTAACCTAACAACAAATAAGATATTCTTCCTTGTGTTATTTCAAATCATTTTGCTATGCTATCTGGAGATGATGATGAGCTGATTCCCTTAGCACAATTTTACCTATTCGGTCTTTTGAGTTCACATTTATTTTTGTTTTTTTGTTTTTGTTTTTAGGCAACTGGGGTTAAGTGACTTGCCCAGGGTCACACAGCTAGTAAGTGTCAAGTGTTTGTCTGAGGCCAGATTTGAACTCAGGTCCTCCTGACTTCAAGACCAGAGCTCTATTCACTGTGCCACCTAGCTGCCCCTCATTTTTTTTTTGTATTTTTTTTTTTAGGCAATTGAGGTTAAGTGACTTGCCGAGGGTCACACAGCTAGTAAGCGTCAAGTGTTTGGTCTGAGGACAGATTTGAACTCAGGCCCTTCTGACTTCAGGGCCAGTGCTCTATCCACTGTGCCACCTAGCTGCCCCCTGAGTTCACATTTAAACCAGCTTTTTATGTTTTGAATTTTTTTTAGGTTTCCCAGCTTTTTTTTCTGTGAAGTTCTCCATTCCACCATTCTGATGATGGGTCAGGTTTCTGTCTACCTTTGAGGACATTTGCCCCAATCATTTCTTCTACTTCACTATAATACTGTTCCTACTACATTCAAATAACATTTTTATAGTAATATGGGACTAATTGTATTGTTTTTCAACAGACATTTAGGATAAGTTCCCTAGTATTCAGTTCAATATAAAAAAAGTGATCATTTCTGCTGTTTCCACTAGTTAAGATTTCAGCTAAAACACACTATCTTTCCTTATTTCAATTTGCCATCATGCTATATTCACACTTCCAATGTGTACTAAATGTATCATAACAGTTCTATCTTCTGGCTTTTGAACATAAGAAACTTCTGTATGTGACTTTTGTATTGATTTTTTAAGTAAGAAACTTCAATATTCTTCTCCAAAACAAATTCAAAGAATGTTAAAGCTGGAAATCACTCTAGAGAATCTGGCACAATCATTTCATGTTACAAATGAGAGAACTGAAGCCTAGAAAGGGAAAGCAAGTTGCCCAGGCTCACAGCTAGAAAAGATCAGAGGCAATCCTTGAACCCAGTGTTCATTCAGTAACACCATGCTTGTTTGTAACAGTGGCAGGGACAGAAGAAACAATGAAGAGATACTTGTAATCAGTAAAGCAATGTTGCTCTTTAAATTTTTCCTCATTTCAAGAGCCAAGATTTTCTCACAACATGAAGTTTGGAGATAGGAGGCTAGCTATTTTATTTCCAACCTTTGGTTTATTTTGAGAGAGAGAGAGAGAGAGAGAGAGAGAGAGAGAGAGAGAGAGAGAGAGAGAGAGAGAAAGAATTAAAAGATATAGCCCTGGAATTAAGATAAAAGCTTTAATCTAAGTATAAAAGAAAAATTAGTAAGAAAAGTTTATAACAGGTAAGCAGTGACAGAGGTACTTAACTTATTCTGAGTTTCTATTTCTTTTAATCTTTGCACTGAGGTATTCTGTTACTTATGAGTAAAAAGGAGAAATTTATAAATACATGTGCTGGTTTTTAAGATAATGAGTATATTTGTTACATTGCTGCTTCACCTAAAAAAACTGTATCTCAGACCTAAGCAGTGTAATCCATGTGGCAGTAGCTACCTACAGAACTTTTACAAAGTTTTATTTATATTTTTCAGCAACAGAAAAATCATATATTACCAAACATTTCAATCTGTTCCCATAGCCTCCATATAGATAACGGAGTACCTTATAGGCTTTTGTGGGGAAAGGGAGGATGAGAGGAAAAATTAAGGAGTTATTTAAACAATTTAACAATATATTTAAAAGCAAATTTTTTTCCCTTCCTTCACCTTAAAAGGGGAACATAGATAAAAGTAAAACCTTAATCATGATATATATTATACAAAACTTTGGAAAGTTATTGTTGAAAAGCTGAATATCTTTAAGCAGTAATGTGAAAGAGCCTCTCATAAAAAGGTAGAATTAGAAGGATGATGGGAAGAGTTAGACTTTATATCTGGAAAGAATACTGAATTCAAAGTCAGGCAATCGGAATTTAAATCTTGGCTGTTTCTGTCTAGCTGAGAATTGTGTAAATCACATCCTCTCTAGGCTTCAGTTTCTTTAACTATCAAATGATCTCCAAGGTTTTTCCAGCTCAGTTCATGCTTCTAAATCCTGACTGATCTCTCCTGCATTTTAAACTGAAACAATGTTTATTCCTTTTGTACTGGAGATGTAGCACTAAATGGATATTCCATCATTCTCAGCAACCTAGCGGGGAACACAATAACTACATAGTGCATTTGAGACAGGAAACTTGACAGAATTGTCTTGTCCTTCAATATTTTGCACAAAGAACAGTGGCATGCAAGCTCGAAGAGGGAAGAGAATGAGCATTTCATAGAAAGAAGTGTTGCAATGTTTTGGACATAATGACAATTACAGGGGAGGAGAGAAAAAGAGAGAGAATTATTGAGTTTAATCAAGAGCCATGAACACAGAAACTAAAGAATTAATAAGCATGCAAAAGCAGCAAAGAGGAAAAAGCATAAAATCTAAATAGACATTTATTACAACGCTTAGAAAACAGTTTTAAAGTGCAGTCCTGACTTTAAAAAAAAAAATTGCCAATCATCTCAGAGTAGAATCGACTGGCATTTAGTTTTCAATCCAAGTGTTTTCCTTAGAGGAGCAAATTTATTCCTGTTTGCAATCCTCCTGTTTAGTTCTGGTACAGGAGTTAGTTTTCTGAAGTAGGCCCAGTTGGCAGTTGAAGAAGTGGTACCTTTCTTTATGGGCAGCTCTTCCTGTTGGAGTGGACTGTCATCAAATGATCGTTTTCTTCCCGAGGAGGTTCTATTCTCCTTGTCCTTCTCAGTCTGAATATCCTCAACTCTTTCATTACTGTTCAACTTTGATATTTCGTTTTTAATAGTAAACAATGTCTCATCCTAGAACAAAATAAGTTCAAATTACTTTTCAGGCAACCAACATTAAAAAAAACTTATAAACAACTCACATGTATATAGCACAAATTAAGTTTACAAATTGCTTTCCTCACAACAGCCCTGTGATTAAGTAGTACAAATATTACTAATCTTATATAGCATCAGTTTCCTTATCTGTAAAATGGAGATAAATAACTTTCCCAAGATCACAAAGCTATTAAATGTCTGAGGCAGCAACTCCTGATTCTAAGAACTGCACTCTAACCACTATAAGGTGCCTCACAAATACAGCCCAAATTCTTACTGTCTAATGATACGACATAAAAAATTTCAAATTTGTAACCAACAAAGTGACTGTTGCTTGATTTCACACACTCTTCATCCATTTTTGCACTAATATTTGTATTTCAATGAGAGACTGTGGTATAGTAGCCAGAACACCAGCCTTTAAATTGGGAACTCACTGGAGGAAATCAGAGAAGAATCAAAAATATGACTTAGGAAATAACTTGGAAACAAACTAGGAAATATTATTGGGAAACCCTGGGTAGCTCCTCTTTTTTTGCTTTTAAAAGGAAACAATCCTCCACTTCAGAAAGAACAGGCAGTTAAGGGCAAGACATGTTTTACTTACTAAATACTCTTTTCTATTACAATATCCCCATCTGCTGGAACTTTAAGTTTTTGCCACTAAAAGCTGTTAATTCAGGCAAAGTTGGATTATATTTTCCTAATTACCAGTGAAAGCAGGCTTCAATATTTCTTTCTATCCTACATACATACAAAATTATTAAAAATTATAAAGGTTCTTGTGCAACTTTACAACACCAACTTAGGAAGACTAAATCCCCTAATTAAAATTAGTACCATACTTCCTTAACAACTTGGAAGTATTTCTTGTTTGAGGCAAGACTTTTAATTTCACTGATAAGGGAAGCAGCTCCTACCCCACTCCCCCACCCCTCCCCAACGAAGATGAGCAAATGCTAGGATATTTAGTTTTAGAGTTGCCTGGGGCACTGAAAGGTTAGCACTTTGCCCAGGGTCACCTGGTAGGAATGTGTCAAAGCTTTTAATGTTTAGATATTTATTTTCTTATAAACTAGGATGCATTTTATCCTGGTTCAAAAGCTATACAGAAAATGTACATGCTAAAAAGTCATAGAATTACAAATTTTGAATTGAAAGGGAACCTTAGAGATCAGAGCCTAATCCCCTTATTTTACAGATGAGGAAACTTGAGGTTGAGAAATGTCAAAGTGATTTGGTAAGCAGCAGAGCTGGGACTTGAAACCAGCTCCTTTGATGACAAATTCAACACTCTTTCTATTACACCATGCTGTCTCCAAAAAGGGCCTGGTATAGAAGAACATCAAAGTGCCAATGAAGCCCAAGTCCTCCCTGTCCCAAATTAAGTATTCTACTGAGAATGTGGGTACATTAGAAAAGTAGTACTTTCTTAGCCCCTGTACTTCTCCCTTTGCCATTCCTAAATTCATTCTGATCTAAGGTTCAATTAGGTGATAACTGTGACTTGTTAAGGGTAGCATTAACATGCAACAGTCAGACACAGCAAGAACTAAACAATCCTTGTACTTGTATTTGTACTCCTTGTACAAATGATAAAATACTCCTGAATGGGGTGACGAGTGGGAGGGGACAGCTACCATTATACCTAGCATATGAATCAATCCCAACTTAAGGAAAAACAACAATCTTAAAAATCAACTTAAAGGTCACTATATACAATAACATGAAAATATACTCTTATTATCAACATAAACTGCTAATTGAAAACAATTAAATTTAACTGAATTTTGTAAATATTTACAGACAAAGTTTAATAGGGCTGCATGTCCTCCTCCCTCTTTTACATGTAATCCCATTCAAATCTATGGGAGCTTATGTTCTAAGGATTCCTGTGTCCTCATCCAATCTGCTAGAGGTTAAAGCACACCATTATCCATTTATACTTGAAAGGCAGAAAAATCTATCTGTCCCAAGTAAGGAGCATGTTAACATAAGCAAAACATGTCCATAATAAGCCAGAAGAGAAAATAATGACTAACTGAACTGTTAAATGATCTAGAGTCAACATTTCAAAAGGATTTTTATGTAGGACATGAAATTACAAGCAATTTTATCTAAATTTTAAAAGTTTACCAAGTAACATAAGCCACAGTACACCAATTTTACTTAGAAGAAGAATATCAACTTCTTTTAAAAATTCTGATTTGTCTTATAAATTGGGAAATGAAATTCATTTATAAACCAGCACAGTTAGAATCTTACACAGCCTTTAAATGTATCTTCCATATGTGACACCAAATTCTGTAATTTGTTGATAGAATCTTCTTTTTGATCAATGATATCCATTAACTCTTGAATTCTCTGATCCTGTGCAACTATTTTCTTTTGGAAAGAAGAAAGATATTTTTAGAGTATAGATATAATTACAGATGTCAAGATAATAGATTTGTTTCTAAAACAGCTTCTTAAAAGAAAATCCTCTCAAATCTAGGTCCATTGCTAAGAGAACTTAGCAACAATCTATGATCTATAATGTTCAACAACTTAACACTGACACCAAAACATTTATATCTTGTGTGTGTATGTTTTAATCTGCAGGTATCAAAATATTTGATACTTTACAAGGCAGGAAAATAAGGCCAATAGAATCGCCTGACTCACTTGGTCTACTATACTAACAAAGCCATAAAGGAAACTGAACGAACAACCTGGAGAAGCACTTTTAAAACACTAATAATGGTATCACATAACATTCTAAGGCATCACCTTATTAGCATTTTCAAGCTCATGAGCAGACATCTTGTAATCAGTCGTGCACATTTCTGATTCTGAGAAAATAGAACACAGAAAAGCAGACATTAACTTTACGTAGCCTTGAAAACAAATAGATGGTATTCAATACACCTTAATTGTTACCTAATTGTAGATTTCTCCAAAGGCAAGTACTAGTGGTGACAGGCATAGTAATGTAAACATTTAGAAGTACCTCTCAACTTTGCCATATCGGGATGTAGAAGGGCAGCCATGAGACAAAACAGGCAGTTGAGGACTAGATAGCCTTGCTAATGACCACTTGCTCCAGATAAATAATGATTAGTATCAATTAAATAATAAGCATTGATTGTACTTTCCTACCAAGGTAACTAACTTTTGGAAGTGAAAGGAAGCCAAGTAAAACCTGTGGTCAAGTACTTTTGTGGAATATTTCATAAAGCAGACATACCTATTACAGCTATAAATACATCCATCTTGCTTCCATAGTAACATAATATAGCATGTTTACACAGTCCTTGAAATCAAATACTGTGCCCATCAGATTAGGAACATGGGCCAAAAAAAATGATAAATGTTGGAATGACCTTGGGAAAACAGGAACATTAAGATACTGTTGGTGGAACTGTGAACTGGTCTAGCCATTCACATTCATCCTGGAAAACAATTTGGAACTATGTCCAACAAGTTACTGAACTGTGGATACCCTTTGACCCAATGACACTTTACCCCATACTATACCTACAACCCCCAAGAGATCCAGGAAATAGGAAACAGGAGACATATATACAAAAATATTTGTAGTAGCTCTTTCATTGGTGGCAAAATGTCTGAACAAATTAGGCTGAAAAATGTAGTATGAATGTAAGAAATAATACTGTACTGTAAAAAAAGATGAACGGAAGTTTCAGAGAAAGCTGGGAAAACATGAATTTATGCAAAGTAAAGTGAGCAGAGCCAAGAGAATGAATTATACAATAGCAACAATGTAAAGAAAAACGACTTTGAAAGACTTAAGAAGAACTGATCAGCACAATGACCAACCACTATTTCAGAGGCCTAATAAGGGAAGCATGCTACTCCACACTTCCTAACAAAGAAACGATGGACTCCATCAGTGTGCAAAGTGAAACATATATTTTAGAACAAGTTGCCAATTAGGCAATTTGTTTTGCCTGACTATGCATATTTGTTACAAGGTTTTTGTTTTTGTTTTTTCTTTTTTCTTTTTCCAATGGGGAAGATAAGAGGAAAAAGAAAGATTTTTTCATTAAAAAAAAAAAAACAAGGAAATATCTGTACCTTAATGCCAGGGGTTCCCTATCACTTCCATTTCAAATGTAAACATATTTTTATTTAATAAATATAAATATATGAACATATATATGTAATAAATACTATTTCAAATATATTTTCTATCCTCCATCAAATATAAAATGTGATTTAGCATTTAAAGACCTTTATATCTTTCCATTCTTCTTATACCTTACCTCCCCCATCTCCAAGCTTTATGACCAGTGACACTGGCTCCCTTGCTATTAGATACTCTGCCAGTATCCCCCATATTTAGAATTCCCCCCTTCTTCATCTTCACTTTCTGGCTTTGTTCAAGTAACCACTAAAATCTCACCTCTTACAAGAAGCCTTTCCTGATTCCCCTTCATTCAAATGCCTTTTCTCAGTTTATCACCCCCTCTTTATCACTGGTACAGAGCTGTTTGCATATTGTCTCTCCCTACCACTGCCCCCCATTAGACTGTAAATTTTTGGAGAGCAGGTGCTGTCTTTTGCCTTTGTATTGTCAGTGCTTAGCACAGTGCTTGGCACGTAGTAGGCACTTAATAAATACTTATTGACTTGATTTGACATTGTTTAAAGGATCTAGAAAGATCTACAATAGTGCAGCTATTCCCTTAAATATCACGTGAACATTAGGACTCAGTTACAAGTCCAGAGTAGACTGTATCTTAAAAGGGGAACACCGAGCTATAAGTACATTTATGGAATAAAAAGAGGGAAAACTTATGTTTCTTAATTTCTTTGTAAAGGTGATCCAAATATTTTTAAAGAATCATTATTCTAAGTTCAGGCCTTGAAATAAGCAAAAGCCACTCATGGGTTTGGCTTTTTCACTGCATATGGATTTTTTGATTTTGTTTTTAATACTCAAAGATTTTTTTTAAAAAAATATGATATATTATGAAATCTAGTAACTACATTAAAGAACTTTCTCCATAATTATGAAATTAAGTACATTTTGTTTAGTATTGACATATTACAAATACTTCTATATAAGCCTAGACTGTGTTTAAAAAAGAAAGTACTTACTATTTTCTCTCCTTAATTCTTCTTGGGTTTTGACTAATTCTTGCTGGACTTTAGCATATTCTTCTTGGATTTTAGCTAATTCAGCTGTTACTTGATTATACTTTAGCTCTAAACAAGCAATAGCTTCCTGGGGGTCAGCAAGAGATGCAATGAATAAGTGAGCAATTTCAGCCTGTTTCTTAATATCAGTGACATCATCTTGAAGGGAATCAACAACGTCTTCAATTCCTACAAGATTATCTGATTCCTAAAAATAGCAAAAACCACAGAACTAATGTTAATAGTGGCTTTCACTCTTACAGTGTTACAAAAATAGTCCATATTCTTTTAGCCAGATTTTAAAGACAACAAACAAAAATTTTTACAACTTTAGGAAATTTTTAGGGCCCTCATAAAGCATAGAGATAGTAACAGCCTAAGCCAGCTACAAGCTCAGATTGAGACCACAGTCCGAGACTACTGATAGGCAACCCGACCAATCCATAAACTCCAAAAAACAGCACCAGGCCTGTTAGGTCAAGTGCCAAACTCACAACACGGTGGTTTAGGAGAAATGGAAGTGTTAAACTTATGCTGTCAAACAATGCCAATTATCACAAAGCAGATAACATGTGGACTCTGTACATCTGCTATATGTTGCATATGACTTAGGTATTTGCTATGTACTGCTGTATTAAGCATCAGTTAATACAGACTATTAAGCCATGGTATACATATACTACTGCTAAGGAGCATGTTCTGTGTTCCCACCTGTGATCCACATACGTGGAACTGTCATGTTTCATGTTTCATATTTGAGAATTGTACACTTAGTTCAATATATGCCAAATTGCTATGAGTGCTACTGAATTACAAATTATGTAATATATTAATCACATGCGTTAATACTAGTTAAATAAAGTTCAAGCATACATGCTATACATTAGGTACTTGTCTTTAAAATGTATTTTGTTGCTGGATGTTATATGTCGACTTATTATGCTGATATTTGTTCAAAGATGTTCATGCAAATCTAGGTAATCTGCTGGGACAGCATACTCTAACTTGAGGCAAAATGTGGAGAAATTGAGGCTTTTCAGCACCAAAGCAATTAGGCTTTGCAGCATCAAAAGAATTAGGCCTTGTTGTTGACAGGTATATATAAAATAAAGATGAGGATATTGCTAGGTAGGTGGAGAAAACTGATCTTGTCTCCTTAGACAAACTTCTCAGGCTCAAATTCATTAACAGCTAGACCAGATAAGCTCTTTAAGGAGATTTAAGAGTCACTAACCACAAGGTAAAAGTTATATGTAATGGGAGGCTTTGATCAACAGCCCAGACAATCTTAGGGAGGTGGCCCTTTCTGGCTTTTGATAGCTGGGTATGGTGGTTTGATGACAGAGGCATTAGTCTAGTTCTTGCCACCATACCTCTAGCAAATGGCAGGAATGTCTAACAGACATACCACCATCCCCAGCGAGGAGCAGGCCCAGAGAGAAACTTGGCCATCAGAGATGCCATGCTCAGCCAGGAAGAGACCAACTGAAAGCAGTGTGGTAACAGAAGACATCACCCTACAGGTCTGGAAATATGACACGTCTCTCCACAGTTGTTATATTTCTGTGATCCCTATGCACGCTACCACTCCAGGCGATTATATATACACATACACATTTATGGGAAAGTGTGCTCTGTGTTTACAGAGGCAATGATCTCTTGCAAATCTTCTATTTCATTAAACATGTTGCTATTTTTATAAAAAGAAATTCACTTCAGGTTGGAAGGACTTTTTTCCTTTTACCAATGTCTTAAGCAAGAAAATGATACATAGGCAAAATGAATCTATAAGACTGGAGAGGTAAAACGTTTTTTACCAAAACAATTGCTTAAAACTTATAATACAGTTTCCCATAGGAATAGTAATAAATGGCATTTAGGTCCCTATGTGAAAATTGATTATACGTTCTGGATAGCATATCCCTTCCCTCAAAGCCTTGACACAGTCACAAAACTAAGTAGGGGCAAGAAGTTTCCTTCCCTACACTGGGCTATAAGAGCAGTAACTAGAAGTCATCTAAAAAAAGAAAATAGTAAGGAAGGGATGAATCCTCAGACATGGTAAGAATGGACTTTCTTACAGCTGAGTCATGTTTCATCTTCAGTCAAACTGGCTATTCACAAGTAAACAGTAGTAATGGTTCAGGGACAAGACTCAAATAGGGAATAAATTGGAAACCACGAAATCAAAATTCAGGGGCAAAATAGACAAATTTAAGGCTCTAAATCCTTTATACATCTAACTTGTTTCAGATTGTGGAGCCAAGCTTCATCAGGTTTAGTCATACATTTACATATCCTTGACTATGATGTGCTTAATAAATATCCAGATAAAATAAGGGCTTTTAAAAGTATATTAAAATTTGTGTCAAATGATGCAGCCCCTAATACCAGAAGCCCCACCTCATAATTTCTTTAAATTAAAAACACATACATACCTTGGATTCAACTTTCAAGGTACAAGTTTCATCCATTGGCTCCTCACGTGAAGTTTCAAAGTCAGCCACCAAATCCTTAAAAATTGCCATCCGATGTTCAGAATTTTCTTCTAACATTTCACGTTCCTGAAGAAGGGATTCCCTTCATAAAGCAAATAAATCCTACTTGAGCAACAAAACAAGTTCACCTTTGGAAAGAAGGTATTTCTTTTCCAATGTTTCAGAATGTTACCAAAAAGATAAAAATAAAAAGGTAATGAAATAATCCCAAGTTGTCCCAGCGTGTTGCAGCAGCTCTGTGGGACTCAGATTTCCCATTTATTAAGAAAACCAACCAATGAAAAAGCAAAAGGCCTTGATTTGATGGATTTCGCTCTCCCTAGGAAAATGGTCTTGTAGCATAATTTGAAATACCCGGGGACACAGAGAATGGAGGAGGGGTGAGTGGTATACGAATACATTAGTCACTGTCACCTAAAAAACAAGGACATAATTGGGTAGCTAGCTGGCGAAGTGGATAGAGTGCTGAAGTCTGGAAGACCCGTGTTCAGTTTTGGTCTCAGACACTTACTATGTGACCCTGGGCAAGTCACTTAACCCTGTTTGCTTTAGTTCCTCATCTACAAAATGAGCTGGAGAACGAAACAGAAAACCACTCCAGTATCTTTGCCAAGAAAGTGGGTCAGTAAGAGTTGGACACAATTGCAATGACTAAACAACAACAAAGATAACCTTAAGGCCATGCAAGATGCAAAAATTTATGATAGTGTAAATAGTTCCCTCTGGATCCACAGCCCAGGTTATATCAGGCTCTTGACCTTCTTTCCATTCAATGTGGGCACATTTGGATTGTCCCACACAGTGAGGCTGTGGAAGAGAACCAGATCTTTTCTAAGGAGGGGTGTGGTCTCATTTAGGTGTCCATCTGTAAGGTTAAGTGTCAATTAACTGAAGAAGCTAAAACTTCCAGCAAAAAAAAAATTCCATAGATTGAGTAATGGGGTTTCAGAAAAGAGGTAGAGAGTATGAGGTAGGAGGAGGGGGCATGTCAAGAAAGACTAGGCCAGAAAAATCAGAGGTCTTTCCTAAACTCTCCACAGGGATATTAAGACTAAGTCAATTTCTCTTACAAAAAGGGACAATACTATATTAATAACCATTGGAAAAATACACAACAAAAACACAATTGATGGTCTCCCCTGTGGTCTGTTTTAACAGTGCTCCCTCACCTTACCTGTCTACCTGATCCTTCTCAGACATCTTTGCAGGTCTGCAACCCCCTCCCATCCCTTATTTATGGGCATTTCCCCAGAGCTCTTCACTGAGGTCTCTCTCCATATCAGCTCCCATGGATTCAACCATGAATGACTACCTGTAGAATGACTACCAAACCCATAATATCTGGCCACCATCCTTCTCCTGAGCTCAAGTCTTACATCTCTAAATGTCTGAACTCCACCAGGCTGTCCCATAGGCACTTTGAACTCAAAATGTCCAAAATATAACATTACCTTTTCCCCAAAACCCACCTTCTCTCCTAATTTCTCCATTCCTATCAAGGGAACCACCAAATGCAGCCATCCAAAATCACAACCTGAGAGTCATCCCTAACACTAAACTTTGTCAATCAAGCCTCCACACTTCTCACATCTACTGCTTTTCTCCACTCATTTGGCCACCACACTAATTTAAAACCTCATAATCTCTCACAAGAACTACTGAAAAAGTCTTCTCCCCAACCCATTCCCCATAGTTGCCAAAATGATAGTCTTGAAGTACAGGTCTTACTATCCCACCCTAACTCATGAAACACTGGGAGTCCTTATTGCCTCTAGGGCAAGGGTTCTTAACCTGCAGTCTACCAAAGGGTTCATGAATAGATTATCAAGTGTCTAGTAACTTGGGTGGAAAACAATTACATGTTTATTTTCACTAAACTCTAATTGTTTTTTAAAATCATTGTTTGAAGAAAGGATCCGGAGTTTTTGTCAGACTACCAAATGGGTATATGACACCAAAAAAAAGGTTAAGATCCTCTGCTTACAGATAAAATATACACTCCTTTGTACAGCATGTCAAGTCCTTCATAATGGGTCACCAATCTATCTTTCCACACTGATTTTACATTACTTTTCCTCATACACTCTGAATCCTAGCAAGACTAGACTACTAAATGTTTCCAAGTAACTTCATCACATCTCAAATGCCCCAGTGCCCCAACATGCCTAGAATGTTCTCCCTCCTCATCCTTGCTTCTTGGAATTCCTAACTACATTCAAGGGTCAGTCAAATTCCTAGCTCCTACGAAAAGCTGCTCCTGATTCTATCAGCACTTCCTACAACATTACTTTATATTTTTTTGGCACATAAATATCTATGTACATGTTATTTGCCCCCACACTAGAATGTAAGCTCCTTAAAGGCAAAGACAGTTTTGTTTTTCTTATATACATAGCACCTAATAGTGCTTGACATAGACAAGGGATTTAATAAATGTTTGTTGGATTGAATTAAACTCTAAATTTTTTTAAACTTACTTAAAATCAGCTTCCCGTTGAGACAAATATTGAGTAAATTCTTGGGTAACTTCATCACGAATTTTTAATTCCAAAGTTAACTTTTCCTTCTTTTCATTTATCAGTTTGTTCTTCAAGTCTTCTATCAGGGACAGTAGTTTCTAAAATTTTTATAAGAGCCCATAGATCATTCCAAGACAAAACATTCATTTCTTTAGAAAACAATGCACAGTGTGAATTTTTCTTTGTACAATCTTATATTTATCATATCCATAAATTTTTATTTTTTTTAAAGCAAGAGTACCTTTGGGGAAACCCACCCACTTATAGATATACTTCTTCTAAACAGTAAGATTAATGCTGCTCAAATACAGACAGCATTACCAGTTTGGGGGGAGGGGGAGGATGGAAGGGATGGACTCTAGGCCACCCAATTTTGCCTAAGTTGGAAGTGCAGCAGCCACCCATGAGCTCAATCTCACTTATTAGCTGTGTGGAAGTTTTGATCTGCTCCATTTCCGACCTAGGCCAGTTTGCCTCTCCTTAGGCAGTCTGGTGGCTCCCTGCTCCTGGCTCACCTTTGTTTAAATCAAAGAGGCACACATAAATGTGAAAAAAGAATTCTGAGGGATTATTGAAGACTAGCAGATCTTAAAGTCCTCGAATAACAATAGGACACGGCCAGCCTGTCATAATACATACTGCATACTCCTCTTTGCTGACAGCTTTTTCTTCTTCCGATGTCACGTCTAGTTCTACCATCTGGTCATCTTGAGCTTCATCAGGATTCTCTACCAAATCTTCATCTTCTATCAAATCTTCCAGACTCCTCTCCCATTCAATGGTGGTTCTCTTCATTTCTAACATTTTAGTGTCTGCATTATTAGCAATGAATGATGTATCTCTGGAAGATTTAGTCTGGCCAAATGGTTTCTCTTGAGAAAAATTTAAAGCGTCTGGAACGAAAACCTGTTAAAATATCCAGTGTTTTTTTTTTTAAAATGAAGGATCTAGATAAATCAACTAACAACTCAGATTTTTAACAGATCCCAAAAATGCTTAAAAGAGATTTTTAGCATTTTCATATTTAATCAACTTGATTATTCAAGCTACTAAGAGAAATCACGAGTAAAGAAGGAACACTCAGATAACCTATCCTGATGGGTCAATACCAAAGTCCTGATTGTACCAGCAAGATTTTCCCTATCCCCCATCCAGCCCCTCAAGCCCAATGGTCATTAAGACAGACAAGAGAATCAACTAATCTCAGGGATATAGTTGCAATGCAGATAATTGGCATTAATGTTTCCATTAGTACATATTAAAAATTCATTTAGCACCAGAATGAGGTGTGTTCAGTACTTATATTCCCTTTAGACAACCATTTAAAGTTTAAATTTCAAATAAATCTTTCAAAATTAACGTTTTTACTTGCTATTACATTTTCAAAGAAAAAGTATTCAAAATACCCTAATGGCAAAAATGAGTGAGAAAATAATATAAGCAACTATGATGGTTAAAATATATTTACTTTTTGTGCAACAGCTGAGAACTTCAACACGTTGAATGTTTCATCATAGGCAGAACAACACTGGCTAATGTTGACTATCATGTATATTTTCCCTTTGCCATTAAAAAAGCTTTGAAAATAATGGGTAAGTTTACTTTCTCGGAAGGGCACATGCTGTTGCAACCTAAAAAAGAAAAATTTTTAAAGTGAGTATGTGTTTAAATAGATTTCAAAGTCAGTTGCTTTGAATATACAGGAATGAATAACTCAGCAGCTATAGGCATAAGATAATGCCTATTTGGACAACAATCTCTCAAGTGGCAACTGCCTTCTATTAACAGTATCCATCAAAATAGTCTTTTTGTAGGTTTTTGAGGGTGAGGTTTGGCCTAAAAAAAAAATCATACAAGAAATCTATGCAAAATATCACTGTTGCCATAAAGGAAACAACATTTGGAAATTTTAAATGGGCTCAGTTTACTAGCATTCTGTGTCATAAGTATTTGATGTACCTCGATGGTACGTGTTGGCTAATTACTCAGCCTAAAATGCTAACTGATCTTGAACAATGTTGGATCTAACTAAACAAGCAAACTACATTAGTGAGAGAGAAGCTATTTTACAGATTCTGAACAGATAACATCAGAAGTTTATTATCTCAAAATGCCTGCAGCTAAGAAGTATCCCGCAGTATAGTAAAGTGACCATGAGTCAAGGAGGCCTGAGCTGCAGTGCCACCTCGGACACCTACTAGCTGTTTGATTCTGGACTCTGGGTCAAGTCAGCTAACACCCTCCAGCCCCAGTTTCTTCATCCATAAAAATGAGGATAAAAATAGAAACCATCTGACAGGGTTACTGTGAGAATTAAATGAGGTAATGATATAAAGCATTCTGCAAACCTTAAAGAGCTACATTTCTGTAAATGATTTGAATAATATTCTCTACTTACTAAGTCAGTATTTACAGTAATACTATACTTCTAGAATGCCTTTTATCCAATATTTCTCAACACTAACCACATTCCACAAATCACTGTGTAGGAAGCAAATTTAAAAAAAGAAATTAGAAAACAGTAAAAAAGCAGCAGCACTTTTGTGGGAGCAAAAAAACTAGACACAAAGCAGAAGTCCATCGATTGAAGGATGGATAAAGAACCTGTTGTACCTGAATGTAATGGAATATTACTGTGCTATGAGAAACAACAAATGTGATGAATCACAGAGAAGCACAAAAAGACTTATGTGAACAGTTGTGTAAAGGAAGCAGAGTCAATGACTACAACAATGTAAATGGGAGAAAAACCACAAAACAATCAAAAAAATATTTAAAAAGTACAAAGAACAAGCTTGTTCTCAAAGAAGAGATAGAAGAAAACATGTCCCTCCAACGTCCAACTCCTCTGCAGAATGGAAGGGACAAGGGGGTACAAAGATGTGAAATATCAGATTTTCAATGTATTGACCAGTTTTGCTTGTTTTTTACTCTTCTTCCACTTTTTTTCTTCTCAAAATGTCTTTTGCTATATGAAAAGGCTTTCTGGGAGTAGGGAGGGGAGGGAGACCAGGAAATTTAAGTGGTGTAGAAACAAAAGATATCAATAGTAAATGAAAAGAACAACTATACATCAAAAAAATCAAAAGTAAATATAACAAAATTATAGATATCAAGCAAGATTGGAATAAACAGATATGAAGACACCCCCAACCTAGTCCTCTGTGGAGGTGAGAAGTCCACAGGTGCTACACATTGCATGTTTTCAGACTTTTTCCATATATCAACTAGTTGAATTGATTTGCTTGTGTCTCTTAAAAAAAAAATACTATTGGTCATATAGGATGACTTGGGGGGGGCAGGCAGGGAGGAGGAATATTTGGTACAACTGTGGTGATAAAACAAAGAGACAATATCAATAAAAACCTATTTTTAAAAAGACAGCAATAGACATTTATTATTTATTTTATGGTATATATTTATTTATATATTATTTATTACTATATTATTTTCTTATAATAAAACTGAAGATGAGGGAGAGAAATTACATAAAACCCTTCTGAGAATTATATGGACAAAGTCTTAGTACTTCACACTTCAATAGACTGCTTATAATTTCACCAATGTGGGTACTCCCTCCACTGTCTCAGATCACAGTCCCTTCATGCTTTGGAATTCATTGTTGCCCATATTTACCTTTAAATCCTCCACTGAGAATCTTGTATTTAGCACAACAAAGTTATGTCTAAGTGTCATATCTATTTTTAGTGACACTTACTTTGACTTCTGGCTGTTCCTTAGAGCATTAATACATTTTCCCAGAGTAAGCAAAGAAGTGTTAATGTTTCCAGTCTCTCTTAATCTTTCACCTTCATTTTGAGTCTTCATACTTCGCTCTGAACCAGCCAGATCACACAGTGATAGTCTGAGCAAAATGGAGGGGAGGAAGAAGAGGGGAGTTAGTTGAGAGAGCAGCCTTGGGATATCCTTTTAAAGCAGTTAAATTTAAGAGAATGCTTACTTACTCACTGACTCCTGTTACCCGGGGCACTTCAGAATCCTCTATCTGTAATGTTCTGATGGTGAATATGCTGTGACTATAACAAAGATTAAACAATGATTGTCATTACATTTGTAGTGACAGATTTTACCCTAAAATCTCACATCTGGTTGCAAAATACTTTAATTTAAAACATAGTTTTAAAGATTTCAGCTATCATCTCTACGCAGAAGACTCAAACCTCTACTTCCAGCCCCAATTTCTCTATTTCTTCCAACAGATGGATGAGGAGTAGTTTTCAGCAGTACTGCTGAAAACATGGCATCAAAAGCAGCCTCATGCCTATTTGGGTCCTCAAAAAGGAAGGAAAAGTTTTGTTTTCAAGAGACTGTTTGATTATCCCAGGTAGATTATAGCTCCACTCTTTTTGTTTCTTCACTTGCCTTCTGCTAGATGCACTGTTGAGTTTTGTAGAAGCAAAGCTCTGGTGCTTCAGGCCTAGTTTGAGAAGTCTGTATGCCTCCTTGGAATCAGAAACTTGAATCCATTGGAGATCTTAAAGAACAGAAGCAGGAGAAAGTAGGTCAATGTTTTAAAAAATAAAACGAGCCATGATAAAATTTATGATTTTTAACCAGTCTGGGCAAGGTCATGCAGGTATTTACAACACCTATAAATTGACGACTATGGAACAAGGACTGACCCTCAAAGGATATGAACAGGCAGTTTTCAGATGAAGAAATTAAAGCTATGTCTAATCATATGAAAAAATGCTCTAAATTACTATTGGTTAGAGAAATGCAAATCAAAACAACTCTGAGGTACACATCTATCAGATTGGCTAACATGACAAAACAGGAAAATGATAAATGTTGGAGAAGATGTGGGAAAATTGGAACACTAATGCATTGTTGGTGAAATTGTGAACTGATCCAACCACTGTGGAAAGCAATTTGGAACTGTGCCCAAAGGGCTATAAAAATGTGAATACCCTTTGACCCAGCAATAGCACTTCTAGGCCTGTATCCCGAAGAGATCAGAAAAATGGGAAAAGGACCCACATGTATAAAAACATTTATAGCGGCTCTTTTTTGTGGTGGCCAAGAATTGGAAATTAAGGAGATGCCCACCAAATGGGGAATGGCTGAACAAGTTGTGGTATATGAATGTAACAGAACAGGATTGTGCTATAAGAAATGATGAGCAGGCAGATTTCAGAAAAACCTAGAAAGACTTTTATGAACTGATGCTGAATGAAGTGAGTAGAACTAGAAGAACATTGTACACAGTAATAACCACATTGTGCAATGACTAACTTTGATAGACTTGACTTTTCTCAGCAATGCAAGGATCTAAGACAACTCCAAAACACTCATGATGGAAAATGCTATCCACATCCAGAGAAAGAACTATGGAGTCTGAATGCAGACCAAAGCATACTATTTGATCTCTTTTTTTCTTCTGTGGTTTTGTTTTGTTTCTTTTTTCTTGTGGTTCCTCCCAGTCTTTACAACATGACTAATGTGAAAATTTAAAAAAAAAAAAAAGGATTGATCCTTCATAACTCAGACTTGGGCTCTTCCTTATCAATGTACAACAAAGATTAAGCCAATTTCTGTGACAAAAGTTTATTAAAGAATAAGTGAGTATAATTTCATTTTATGTTGTTTAATGTCCAAAGGCTTGGGTAGTAGGGACCTTCTTCCATATTTATTATCTATTTACCTTTTATAAACGAGCAGCCTTTGATATCTTGAGAAAGACGCAGCATCTTTCTCTTTTGAAACTTGTCACTTGATACGGGAACAAATAAATCATAAATAAATTCATTGTAAATCTCAAAAAAAGAAACCCAGATTGAAAATTTCACTGTATTTTCCACATTCAAACTAGGTTGTTCAAAATCTTTGGAGTCCTCAAAATCTGAGATGTTCACAGAGTTCCAACTTCCTGTCCAAAAAAAGAAAATAAAATTATCTAAATAAGCACTAAGCCAAAAAAAGTACAATGGGTTATTTTTAAAAATTATTTTCCTATTTCTTCTTCCCATTTCTCTTCCACTGTAGAAATACTAATGAACAATAAAACATCACTTCTAAAACATCTTTGAACAATGAGCAAGAATCTACAGGTTACAAAACTGCATTTTCACTAGCCCTAACTCCAATTCCATCATTAATTCAAACTGACAAATATTTATTAAGCACCGATGTTATATAACCATGAGAAAGTTTTCTCCAATAACAGTGAAATTGGTGGAGAATAAAATTCTATCTGGATATAATTTATCTGGAGATAAATTCTCTATGAACTTTGACATTTCAAAACAGATGAATTTTAGTTACCAAATACAGGTTACTATGTCATTAACATAGATTAGATTTAGACCTGTGTTTTTAAAAGCCTATAAAATCTGCATATGTCAGTGGGATCAATATGTTGAAAAGAAAGGGAGGTAAGGAAGGAAACCTTACCATACGAGGTGTCACAACTGCCATTTTGAATAGCAACCTAAAAATAAAAGCAAACATTAAGGTTTAGAAAAGATAAAAACACCACATATGGGGAGTTTTTCCAACAGTGAGTAAACAAAGTAACCAACCCAGTTAGCCACTCTTTCATAGCCCCTTTCCTATGCCGAATAGAATATCCTGGTAGAATAGAAAAGGTAGAAAACCTTTTTTTCCCTTGCAATTAATGATAAAAGTTCCCTTCATAGGAAGGTCTCAATCAGGGTAGAAGTGAACACTCTTATGATAGTATTACTTTACTCACAAAAAACTAGTAGTAGCTTGGCAAAATGCCTCCTGAGTAGGGATTCTAGGAATACAAGGCCTTTTGTGTCTCATGGGAAAACAGGAAAAGACCCTGAAACTTACAAGGAAGGCAAGGAATAGAGTTTTCATCAAAATTAATTCTCTCAAAATTAGTAAAAGACTCAATTCTTCCTTGAATTGCATATTAGTCTCTGAACAGCACTAAGCAGGACAGCTCCCTTTCTCACCTCATTGACAAACCCTAAAAGACTGGTGAACTTGACTACCACCTTCAAAAGAAACCTGTCCCCCACAATTTTAGAAAAAGATTTTAAACCACTTAAAACATCTTGAGGTCTGAGAAGGTATACAATTTAGCATGAGTTATCTGTGTTCTTATTCTTTGCTTCATACACTTAGGTATACCATTCTCTATTTTAATAAGCATAAGGAATAGAATTAAAACTAAGATATTTGAATTAAAACTAAGGCATTTCTAGAGGTCATACGGTATATACGTTTTACGTGTTTAAATTATGTCATACCTCTTTAATTTGCCGAAGCAAGGCATTTTTAATAGCAACTTCTTCTTTCATTTGATCAGAAGATAACCGTACGTAATCTCTACATCTATGTGGTTTTAGGTCCATCTTTTGATACAGTTTATCTTGAATAGTATGAAACAACATGTTCATTGTCCTAGGCAAAATACCAGTATTTTCTTCTGTACCTGAGAACACAATTTAATGAAAAATTATTTGAAGTTATTACTGGCAGGGAGTGGGAGGAAGGGATGTCAGAAGCCTTTCCCAGTGTCTTAAATACTCCTTCTTTAATACAAGGCAGGCAGGCATCAATAAGAATAAAATGGGTTAGATGTGGGAAGGGGATACCAGAGACTCTCAGTCATTACAACTACTCAAAGTCCTTGACACCAAATTTACTACTGTTCTCACTCAAGACCTGTTACACCCAAATATTAAGATACATATTCACAAAATATGAGATTAAAATAAAATGTAAAGTTCAAGTTTTCCCTGGCCTGATTCTTAATTTTCTTTTTTTTTTTTACTAATCTCAACTTGTAGGTGACTTTTTGTGATTTTTGTATCTTCTGATTTTTATCAGGCTGTTCCTTTGTACCTAAAGATACTGGTTTCAATTAAAAGATATGATACTAAAAATATGATACTAAAAAATAATCTTGGACATAACCTCAGTAAGTTCCTATATTCAAAGTTAATCCTTAGTAGCTGAGACAATCGAAAGGCCACCTAACAACCCCTCTGAGCATCAATTTCCTCATCTGTAAAATGGGGTTAATATCTGTAATACCTAACCTCATAGTATTATCAAATTTAAGGGAAATAAATAGTAAGAAAAAGACTATGTGAATGTTATTTCTCAGTGTAAAATAATTTTTATGTGATAAAATGAGAAACATTTCTATTAGTTAATTGGGACATAGCTAATGAGTATGCTATGAAAACTTAAGGATTATATTGCTACTTTTACCACATGAGGAAAAAATTTTAAGAGTTTCATCTTTACCTTGAAATGTATATGTTTTGCCAGAGTTGGTTACACCGTAAGTAAAAATCAGACGATTTTCTCCCCTCAAGAAGTCTTTCACTAGTTGCATAATACTCCCTTCAAAGAACTCTTTCTGTGTAGTTTCAGGACCAAATACCTAAAGGATCATTTCCAAGATAACTTTATATAAGTCAGTTAGAAATCACAAAGTTGTATCACTAACTTGGCAGTCACAGAACATATCCTCAATTCTGTTATTTCACAAATGAAAGACTGTGTCCAAGTATTTTTCTAAAACCACTCTGCTTTCGCCTTGCTATACCTTTGCTCAAACATTTCTTTTTCTTGAAATGACTTTCTTTTCCTCTTGTCCTCTGCCCCTCTCCCAACTGCTGAAATCCTACCTATCTCAACTGAATGCCACATGCATGAAGCTGTCTGACACCTACCAGGTATCATTGTTCCATCCCTTGAACTCCTTTGACTCCGTTTGCCCCCCTTCTGAGGCATTTATAACACTCCGCTCTGCATAATTGTTTTATTATGGTATTACAAAAAGACTGCCTCCAACCAAAGTCCTGATCTCATGGCTCATCATGGCATGGGGGAACCCTAGATCAGATCCTTAGAACAAGTCCCCTTCATAAAAAGATTTGTTCTGTAAAACTTGGACTCAGTCAAAAGGCCACACCCAAGGACCTAGGCCACATGTAGCCTCGAGGCCGAAGGTTCCCCACCCCTGCCCTAGGTTCTCAAAGGCTATTCTAGCAGAGCATAAGCTCTACCAGGTCATATCAAGCCAGAAGGGGACCAAGTACAGACCCCAAGTTTGCTCTCCAATGATCACCAATGTTCATCCAATGTTCAGAGAGGCTCTTTACCATGGTGGCTGCAGAGTAATGAATTACTTGGCCATAAATTTTTCAAAGACCATCTGCTAACTTAGAGAGGTTGCACTTTGTATTAGAAGAGTACTCATACCAAATAAGTAACAGACCTTTCAAGTGTTGAAATATGTAGCAGAAAGAGACTTAAATCATAAAGCCTGGATTCCAGTTCTGGGAATAAACACATATGGGTAAAACTAAAAGCCATTATCAGGTATGTAAGTAGTCAAAGGATCTGAATAAACAATTCTCAAAAGACAAACTGCAAGTCATCAACGACCATACGACAAACTGCAAGTCATCAACGACCATACGAAAAACTGCTCCAAATCACTAATAATAAGAGGAATGAAAATCCCCTCACACCCAGTAAATTGACAATTCTTGTCTTTGCCAGTATTGGAGGGGTTGTGAAGAGTCAGGCAAACTAATGCCCTACAGGTGGAGCTCTGAATTGGTCCAACTATTCTGAAAAGCAATTTGGAATTATTCTAAGAAAGTGACTAAAATATCTATACCCTTTGTTAGACATAAACTACAAGGAAATCAAAGATAAAAAGAAAGGCTCCACGAATCCCCAAATGTTTATAGCAGCACTTTCAGTAGTAGCAAAGAAACAAAAACAAAATAGATGGCCATCGACTGGGAAATGGTTAAACAAATTGTAGTATATAAATGGAATGTAACACTAATGTGTCAAGAAATTATGAATGTGAATAAAATTAGATGAATTCAGGGTTGGTTAAATAGCTCTACTCAAAGAACTAGTAACCATTGGTAATGGTTCAGTATAAATTTGGAGGCAGGTCTAAAGTAGTGCCCCAGAGATTTGGGTACTTGGTCCAGTGCTATTTAACATTTTTAGCAATGACTTGGATAAAGGGATGGATAGCATGCTCATCACTTCTGCAGACACAAAAGTGGGAATGATAGCTAACAATGAATGAGAGTCAGGATCCAAAAAGGTTAGTAGGCTAGGGCATCGAGTTGAATCTAATAAAATGAAATTCAGCAGGGATAAATGTATTCAGTCTGTTTCTAATTAGTCATTACTTTCAGCAAAGCTCTGTCTATTGTTATTCAGACAAAGCTCATCATCTCAGTATATACCCTATGAGAATTATTGTTCTTTACTACAACTGTACTTACCTTGGAAAAACTGAATTTCTGTGCCATCTGCCCGCAGCACTTTTCACTCAACCGACCAGCTAGACTCTGGGGATCTTTTAGTAGAATAGTATTTGAATCTTGAACATATACGCAGCCCTAGCACAGCAAAAACAAAAAAAAGTTAGTGATATTTTCTGCCCTTCTATTGAAGTTTAAAAGTGTCAAAAACATTTACAAACCTGGGAGTCATTTTCTTTTTCTGATGGTGTGAAAGGCCTTATCCTAAGGCAAACTTGTACATGGTCCTTGGACTGTAATGCACTTTCCTTAAAAGGGAAACAAAGTAGATTAAATAAGGAATTTTTAAAAATAATTACATTACCCTCACCTTCAATATTTGAAGGTGTATGATTTTGTCAGGTGAATGCTCCTTCTACTGACATTGATTCCAATGCCTGCCTGTGTAACTTGGTAAAGTCTTCATGAATTGTGTAGCCAAAACATTCAGGACCCTATAGACAATGATTATCTCTAAAGTTGGCTAGGTTGTTCCTTAGGCAATATCGTCCATCATGGGCCCAGTCTCCAAATAATTAGAGACCTTGAGCTGAAACATTAGCGCTTAAATTTTTTTTTCAATAGATCCACTTAAATTAGTAAATTAATACAATTATAAGATTTTTTTTAATATATTAGGAAATGGTTCTTTTAACACATCTTGGTTTATAGTTCTATTGTTAGAAACCATCTATCTGTTACCACCTCACTAGTATAATAGGTGTCTGATAAATACTTGTTGATGTTAGACTAAAAAATACATTTAAGGCTTTGCAAGGAATTTCTTAGAGCATTTATTGTATCCTGAGGCCAGAAGAGAAACTTAGAGAGATACCAAAGAAAAAAGCATTTTGATGACTGGTGGTATAACAAAATAAATCTAAAACTGTGACAAGTGAATTTCTGGCTCAGACTTCTTGTTACTACTATGATAAAAGGACATTGCCCTAGTCTCTATTTTAAGTTTGCAGACATTGTTCCTGCAAGCTCAAAGGTCATACCTACAAAATCAAGGCTGGAAAAAAAAGCCACAGCTCCTGTTTTATCAACTGGCAGGTATTCTTATCTTCCCCATTCTGTCACTTGTTTCCAGACATATATGCCCTTATCTTTCCCTCCTGCTTTCTGTAAAATTCCATTTTTATGCTGCTTATGCATTCACATTTTATATAAGGCTGTGGAAGCTGATACTGTGGGCACTCTGACTTTTCATACAGAGGAGCCTGTGCTCTGAGCATAAAAAAAAAATCTGCAGATACTTATCTCCGCATCTTGATTCGATGATTGGCAATAGTATCTAATTAATGGACCCCTTGGATAATTTTTATCTCACCTCTTCCCTCCATGAAAGTCTTACACTTATGCCTCACTACAGCATGGACATGACCCTGGGACCCTAAAAGCTATGCCAGGGAAACGCAAGCTCTGGCAGATCCTACCAAAGAGAAAGGACTCAGAATTGCAACAGCAATGGACCAAATATCTGTCAGCAGTGGACCTGCCTAGCTAAGTTTAGAGAAGCGTATTATCACCCAGGTGGCCACAGTATGATGTATTTGGAGACACAGCAACTCTTTTTTTTTAATATATTTTCCCCCAATTACATGTTAAAACAATTTGTTAACATTTGTTTTTTTTTCCTAAAGTTCTGAGTTCCAAATTCTATCCTGCTTTCCCTCCCTACCCTCCCCCCTCCTTGGGATGGTAAGCAATCAGATATAGGTTATACACACATAGCAACTCTTTTAAAACACAGTCTATTAATCCACAGTAGATACTGTAATCTGCTTTGCTGGAGGGAGCATCCACACCGATAAAATCACAAATTCTATCACACAATATTGGTATAATTGCATATTTAAGCTTTCTTACAAACTAAATAAAATTTTATGTTGAGTTAGCAAGATATACAGAATAAGACTCTGTGCTATACAAGACAAGAAATGAAGTGTTAGATATGGTTTGCCCATTTGCCTAGCCTTTGCTGGTTTTGAATTGTTCTCATCCTTTACTCTTCATATGTTACTAACTTGGCAACAACATATTAATAAGTAGGCTAAAAACCTGAACAGAGAGACTAGAAGATATTTAGTACTGGGCTTCAAGAGATCCTTTGTGTCCCACCATAAATAACAAGGGGAACTTTCCCAAACAGGATCTGTGACGTTCAAATATTTACTGCGTCCAGGTAAGGAAAGGTGTATACATCCAGGTTTGGGGGTCAACCTAATAGGCAAAGAGTATGCAGTTTCATGTGTTTTGTCACCTTCATTTCTGAGAAGTTAAAGCGTGCTTTACCAACAAGCCTCAAGTTTTTTGATTCTTACAACTCCAAAGGCTCTTGTAGCCTACCTCTACCTACAGAGAGAAATCAGCCCTGCATCTGTACCTTAAAGAAGCATTATCACCAGCCACTGTTTAAAGATCCTGTTCCCCTTAAGATGATGAAAGATATAAAATGAGGAATCCAAAATCACCAGCTTAGGATCAACTACAAAAATCCTAACTGATCACAGGCCTCCTCTTCATTCAACTGGAATCTGAAACAGGAATGGAAAGCTAAGGAGGTATTAGTGTGACCACCCCAGCCAAGGGACTGTACTGTCAATAGTAAAATCTCCCCAGGGAAATAAAAGGTTTTCTAACAAAAAAACATTGGAAATCCTATCAAACATCATAGATAGCCCAGGAAGTAGAAATGAACCTGTTTATATGACCAAAAGAGCTTTTTCAAATACTATATAGTTTTAATCTTTAAATCTCTCTTCAAATTCCTCCAAAGAAGTTTAGAATAATATTTGAGTAACAAACTTAGAATGAATTTGAATGAGGGAATCTCCTTAATATCATCTAACTATGTATAAATACAAATAGAAATAGAATAGAACCAGCTCACTAGTTATAGAATAGCTATCTAGTATCAACAAGTGGCTTACGTATTAATAAATAAAAACTTTCCAGCTGAATCAGCATATTGATCAACATGCTGATGTTTCTACCAGACTTACCTCAGAGCTAGATGCAACCAAGGAAAATTCATGGGACAGGTCAAGCTTAATGTCATCAACATCTATTCCTGTAGGCCTTTCAACTGGTTCAGCACTAACAAGATAGGATGGTCTTTGAACCAATGCTCCATCTGAAATAGATTCCATTCTGCAAGAATAAACCCAACTACATTAGAACAAAGAGATTTTTTTGGTAACCTAACCCACACTTGAAAATCATATTCTCCCATACATTTCTCCCTACTCATTCCCCATCGAAAAAGAAAAGAAAAATCAATTCAGGATTTTGACAGCACCTACTATGTGCCAGGTACCATGATAGACACTGGGCATAAAAAAGATAACTGATTCTCTTTCCTTAAGGAATTTTCATTTTTCCAGAATGGCAAGATGTACACAAATCCAAAGATAAGATCCAGACAAAGTGCTCTAGGAAAATTTCAGAAAAGAGAGAATAGCTGGTGGGAGTAGAGACTATGCAAAGTGGATTTAAGGCAGGCTTCAGGCTTCACAGAGGATGTAATACCTAAGCTGAGCTTCACGGGAAGGTTTATGAAAAGAAATCCAAAGTAACATTCTAAAGGAGGGGACAGAAGGGACCGACAAAAGAACAAAAGCAAGATAGCAACATGTTAAGTTCACAAAACATTTAGTATTACTTCAATCTGGTTGGAATGGAGCCTTGATGAAGAGGAATAACGCAAAACCAGGTAATAAAAGGTCTTTAATGCCAGGCTGGGTTTGCATTTTTATCAGGTGAACAATAGGGCTAAGGGTTTTTGAGCATGTGAATGACATGACCAGACCTGTGATTGAAGAAAATGATTTTGCCATCTATGTGAAGACGGACTGAAAAAGGAAGGAAGTGAAGGCAGACAGATCACGAGTTGTATTACAGCAGCCCAAGTGTGAGGAGATAAGGGTCAAAACTAGTATAGGAGCAGTGTATATGTTAGCAGGATTTAGCAAGTGATAGGATGTGAAAGATGAGGGAAAAGAAGTCAATGACAGTTCCAAGAATTCAAACCAGGATGACCAGATGGTACCAATCAAATTCAAATAAGCATTTATTAATCACTGCTATGTGCAAAATATGATGCTGAATACAAGAGAGACAAAGAAAAATTAAACAGCTCCTGCCCTCAAGGAGCTTACATCAACTAGGTATGCATATAAGACAAATACCAAATAATTTCATGAGGGAGAAAGAAATAACAACTGAGGGTGGGAGTCGGGTGAAGGAGTAAAATATCAGAAAAAAGACTGGCCCAGGAGCTAGCACCAGAGCTGAGGTACATAATGAGATACCTGTCAAGACCTAATTTCTGCCAGGCTGCTTTCCAGTTTTCACAGCAAATTCTGCTCAATAGTGAGCATTTACTTCTGGGATTTGGGATCTCTAAATCTACTGAATACAATGCTAATGTTTGTTTGCTTCTCAATGCTGTATACCTATTCTATTCAACTTGTTTTCTAGTTTTTACCCAGTAACAAAAAGTTTAATAACTATTGCTCCACAGTATAATTTGAGACCAGGTACTGCCTTTCCCCCCCAACTTTTTCATTATTTCCCTTGAGATTCTTGACGTTTTGTTCCCCCAGATGAATTCTGTAATTTTTTCTAGCTCTATAATCTTTTGGTAGTTTGAATGGCATGGCACTGGAAGATGTAAATTAATTTAGGGAGTACAGTAATTTTTATTATATTGGTACAGGCCTAATCATAAGCAATTACTATTTCTCCAGTTATTTAGGTCTGCATTTCTGTAAATTTCTTTAGTGGTTGTATTCATGCAGCTCTTGTGTGTGTGACTTAGCAGGCAGACTCCCAGATATTTGACTATGTTCTATAATTATTTTGAATGGAACTTCTGTTTCTATCTCTTCCTGCTGGTTTGTTTTTTTTTTTTTTACAGTATACCAAAAAGCTGATGATTTATGTGGGTTTATTTTATTGAAGTTACTAAAATTGTTGCAATTAGTATTTTAGAAGACTGAGGTTCTCAAAATAAACCATCAAATCATTTACAAAGAGCAATAGTTTTGTTCCTCTTTGCCTGTGCATATTCCTTCCATTTCTTTTTCCTGACTTCTTCCTTTAGCATTATTAGCACTGCAAGAAATCAGAGTGGTGGTAAAAGACATCTTTGCTGTATCCTATATTCTTATAGGGAAGGCCTCTAGCATTTTGTCATATATGTTGGTGTCCCTTAATATGCTGTTTACATTAAGGAAAGGTTCACTTATTCTTATGCTTTTTTGTTTTGGTTTTTTTATAGAAAAGAGTGTTGTATTTTGTCAAGCTCTTTCAGTATGTATGGATATAATTATGTGATGTTTGTTATCTATTAATATGTTTCATTATGTTAGTTTTCCTTATAGTGGATCAACAATGTATTCTTCGTATCTATCTACCAGGACATATGTATAACTTTTTAATTTTATATATATCTTTGTGCTAATATTCAAATTTTTTGCATAAATATTCATTAGGGATATTTATCTTAGTTTTATTTCTCAGCTTTGTTTCTCTCTAGTCGAGGTACCAAAACCATATGTGAATCACAGATATTTGATAAGATCCCTTCTTTTGCTAAATTTATAAACAGCTTATATAATACTGGAATTAACTATTTTTGCAAAGTTTAATAGAATTCATTTATAAAACCATCTAAAGGTCCTATGACTTTTTTTTATTAGTTCACCTATGGCTTATTCAATTTATTTTTGTGAAACTATTTCTCATTCTGTTACTCTAGGTATTTTATATTTTTAAGTATTCATAAATTTCATCTAATTATTTATGGCAATAATTGGGCAAAATAATTTCTGATAATCAGACTAGCTAACTTTATCAGTTGTTGTGTTGGTGTGTATGTGTTCAACCTTTCTCTAAATTTTATAATATCTTTGTGTTTATTTGGGGTTTTTTGATGTGTTGCTTTTCTAGTTTTGTGGTTTTTTTTAGCTACGAACCCAATTCAACAACCTGTTCACTCTCTTTTGTTGATGAAGGTGTTGGGCAATACATATTTTAACATTAGGGATTGCTATGGCTCCATCCCAAGAGTTTTGGTATGTCATCACATCATTGTCATTTTTTTTGATGAAATCAGCTGTTTCTATGATTTGTCCTTGACTCCGTTCTTTGTTGTTTGTTAAGTCATGTCTGACTTTTCATGACACCATGGACCCTCTGTGCATGAGATTTTCTTGGGAAGGATACTGGAACAGTTTGCCATTTCTTGCTCCAGTTTTATGCAGGAAGGGGTTAAGTAGCTTATCCAAGGTCACATAGCTAATAATAAGCGTGTGAGATCAGATTTGAACTATTTTTCTGGTCTGAGTCCAGGCCCAGTGTTCTTATTCACTGCACCATCTAGATACCCTGTTCTTGAGCTGCGTCAATTCTTTGGGATTAAATAATTAAATTTCCAATTAAGCTTTAATCCTTTCTTCAAAGGCCTTTTATTGAACATGATATTTAGTGCATTCTTGTTAGTAAAGGATGTTATTTAATAGTTCTGCCTTTATGCTTCTGAGGTTTTTTATATTCAAATATATAATCAATTTTTGTAAAGATATCATGCACAACTGAGAAATATGTATACTCCTTTCTATTCCTAGTCAGCAGTAACCATAGATCTATTATATTTAACTTTTTGAAAATTTTATTATATTCTTTAACTTTCTTCTTGTTTACCTTTTTGTTAGATTTGTCTAAATCTGAAAGATGTTATTATTATATCATTATATATTACAATTTTACTGTCGACTTCTCCCCATGCATAAATTAACTTTTTCTTTAAGTATTTGGATGTTATGCCATTCAGTGTTTATACTAATTCATAGTATTTATCCTTGTATTGATATTATTAATCCTTTGTCCATAATGCATTTAAGTTTAAGATAATTTTCTTGTTTATCTCACTTAGAGACCTAGGTAGTACATTGAACTTGGAATCAGGAAAATCTCAGTTCCAATACTGCCTTAGTCACTTGAGAACTGCTGTGTGACAATGGCCGAGTCACTTAACCACTCTCAGCTTCATTTTCCTAATCTGTAAAATGGGGATAATAACTCCACTTACTTCACAAAGTTGTTGTAAAGATCAAGTAAGTTGGGGCTGCTAGGTAACACAGTGGATAGAGCACCAGCCCTGAAGTCAGGAGGACCCCAGTTCAAATCCATCCTCAAAACACTTGACACTTGCTAGCTGTTTGACCCTGGGCAAGTCACTTAACTCTGACTGCCTCAGCCAAAAAAAAAAAAATGAGCAACATGTAAAGCACTTTGGTTGTGAGGATCAAATGACATAAAAATTGTAAAGCACTTTAACAGAGTGACTGGCACATAGTAAGTACTATGTAAATATTAGCTATTATCATATATAAATGATAAATATTATTATTTTAATCATGTCTGGTTGTTGCTTTGTCTGAGACCATAACTGCTACCCTACTTTTTTGAGTTCACTAAAAGAATAATAGAAATTATTTCTGCCCCTTATAATTTATTGTTGGATCCTGCTTTCTAAGACATTCTGCTATTCTTTTCTATTTCATACATGAGTTCATCCCATTCATATTCAGTTATGATTAACAGTGTATTTCCCTCCATTTTCTTATACTTTACTTTTTCCTCCTTATCCCCTACTTCCCTCTTTACAAAGAAGGTAGTAGTGAGAAAGGGTGCTCAACACTAAGAAGACATCTGCTTCTGCTCTACTGCCCCTGTCCTCTCTATGTTGCCTGGACCCCTAAGCACAGATTTTTATTCTTTATCTCTTTCCCTTTAATTCTCCATTGATGATTCACCCTCCAAAACTGGAGTTTGATTTAAAACTAATCCCCACCCCCATCACCTCACCCTGTTTGCTCTGACTTCTCATCATGGCTTGAAAATAACCCTGGATTCTCTAAGGTTATAGGTCAATTATTACAAGTTTTGGTAAGTCAATCTCGGGAGGCCTTCAGTACAGGCCTACCAACAGACTGTTTCACTGACAAGCCAGCATATTCAAAAGATGAGTACATACATCAGAAGGTTGGTCATTAAGTAATTAATTTCTTGTCTAGGTAATTATGTAATGCTTTGAATTTGTTTTGCCTAGGCACGCGTTTGTAACAATTTTTTTTCTTGCTTTC